ATTGATCAGAGACCTCGAAGTCAAAGCAGACACCCTGAAAACATTACAGGAAGAAATAGGAGAAATTCTAGGGCTCCTTGGTACAGGCCGAAATTTTCTTAATAAAGACCCAGAAATACAACAAATCAAAGAAAGGTTGGCCAAAAGGGATTGCATGAAATTACAGAGTTTCTGCATGTCAAAGGACATAGCTAGTAAGATCAATAGAAAGCCCACGGATTGAATGAAGATCTTCACTAGCCATACAACTGACAAGGATCTCATATCTAAAATATACTAAGAATTTAAAAAATTAAATCTCCCAACAACAAATCCCCAAACAACTTTCCAATAAATAAGTGAGCTAAAGACTTAAATAGAAATTTCTCTGAAGAAGAAATAAGAATGGCCAATAGACACATGAAGAAATGCTCAACTTATTTAGCCATAAAAGAAATGCAAATCCAAACAACATTGAGAGTCCACCTCACCCCAGCAAGAATGACTATAACCAAGAACTCTAATAACAACAGATGTTGAGGGGATGTGGCCAAAAAGGAACCCTATTGCATTGTTGGTGGGAGTGTAAACTTGTTCAACCACTTTGGAAAGTAGTATGGATGTTCCTCTAAAGACTCCACATAGAGCTCCCTTATGACCCAGCAATCCCACTTTGGGGCATTTACCCAAATGATCACAAGCAAGGCTATACTAAAGATATCAGCACAACTATGTTTATAGCAGCATTATTTACCACAGCTAAGATATGGAATCAACCCAGATGCCCCTCAGTAGATGAATGGATCAAGAACATTATAATTGCATTTTACACACACACACACACACACACACACACACACACACACACACACACACACACACACAATGCAATCCCATGCCTCCGTTAGAAAGAATGATATCATCCCATTTGTTAGGATATGGAAAGACTTGGAAAAAATCATATTAAGTGATGTAAGCCAAGCCCAAAGAAACATAGGTCCCATAGTTTCCCTTATTTACAATAACTAGTATAAGTCTACTATAACTAGTATAAGGACAAGCGGAAAAGTTCAAAAGCTATGTACATATAACCATATAAGATGATGTTAAGTGAAATAAACCCTAAGAAGTGACACAACTTGTTCTTTTCTTTCTTGCTATTGTTTTCAACGTATTTAAAATGTACTATGTATTTTTTGTTTCTTTTTTATGTACTTTCCCCACAGTATAACCCCTGTTGTCATTGTATTTGATGTCAGTGCCCTGTATCTTGTATATACATTTTTTCTAATTTGGGGAGGGGAAAGGAAATAACAAAATGCTGAAATAAGGATATAGGTTTTCCCATTGTCACAATGATGTACAAGACACTATATTGAAAACAAACTTTATAACTTGGGGAGGAGGGTGAAACTGGGGAGGTGAGGAGGGAAGGAATGGTAGGGGAAAAACAAAGGAAGAGGTAACAATGCTCACTAGGAAATGTACTCATTACCTTATTCATGTAAATGTAATACCTCTGTACACCACTACTTTTACAATAACAAACATAAAAAGTTGGAGAATTCCTCAAAAAGTTAACATTATTTGATTTTTAAAGGTAGGAACTTTTATTTTACTTCATTGTTTCAGAGATTTCAGTCCCTCGTTATGATCTGTGTTTCATAAAATAAAATTCATCTAACAAATGTTGGCTTCTTGCTAATTTTAATTTAATTCATTTCATTGCAACCCATCAAAAATGATTAAGTTGTTCAGTCATTAAATACTTACAAAAGTGTCTTATATGTGACAGGTGTGATACACGATACGTTTACTTATATTTTTCATGTGGATCAGTGGTATACACATATGCATACCTGCTACTTTCTTAGGTAGACTAGGTGTGAACAAAACAACAATACCCAGTACTCACACTTTAGAAGCAAAGTTTTCAACATAGTTACAGGAAAAAGTGGTTTAAAATTAGTCTTGTTACAGATGTGACAAGAAGAAAATTCTCGCACAACTAGTATGGAGCTCTTCTTCATAACTTCTTTCTCCATTAGGAACAGTATAGTTTTGGTGATGACTATGTTAACCCCTTTCCTTCTAGTACTCATCTGTGTTTTTTCACTCTATTTTCTGGGTCCTCAGATGAGCTTAATCAGCATGATATAGCACTGAGGAAGGACCATTAATGTTGCCTAGAAAAAACATGGCACTAACCTGCCTTTCACCTTTAAGACAATTTCAGGCCTTGCTGCTAACTTTATTTATGTCATGTTGTTGCTTTTGCTCTATCAATCTTGTTTCTCTTTGTGAGCAACAGCTGTGGCTGTTCATGAGATTTTCTTGGCTGTCTACATAAGGCTGAAGTGCGTTTTTTAAAGCTATGGCATCTGCGTCATTGCTGGCTCACTAGCTGGCATCCTAGTGTTTCTGGGACATCTGACATGGTGGCTTTGAGAGCTCTCTTCCTGCTCTGGCCAACTAGCATCAGCTCTTCACCTTTAGTTCATTTTAAAGGGACATGGCTGAAATGGAAGCAACCACATTCTAAAGAGTGGTATCTCTATAAAATGCTAGGTGACATTTAATATTCACACAGGTTGGATGTTAACATGTCAAAACATTGATACTCTTGGTTATAACTGGTTTGAGATATATAGAGAACTACTTTTCTAAGAGGAAGTTACTGTATCATTGAACTAATATCAGGATATAAGTAGATAAGGATAGGACCAAGAAAAGGAGTTTAAGTATTGTTGGAGGGCAAATACTTTAGACAGGATGAGCAATAGAATAAGAGTCTAGAATATCTGAGAAGATCACAGAGTTAATAGCCATTGGAGATAGCTAAGCTAATAAAAGATACTCAACAAATCATTGCTGAATGAATTAATATACAAATAGTTGATGCTCTCAAGAAGTGTCTTGTCTGACATGGAGTCTGAGGCAGGAACAATAGCCACCAAGAACAATGAAATGTATTCTGCTCATAGAAAGAGAGCTGTTTGTCCTTTGGCCTATTTTATTCTTCCAGCTGTGAATCATCGGCAGCTCTTAGTCCCAGGTGAGTAATTATAGCTGGAGAAAGTCAAGGGCCTGCAGGTGCATCCTGCTCTTGATTGGAATAGGGCAGAAGTGCTAGGATTACCAGGAGGTTATTACATTAGCATTGCTTACGAACCCCCTTACTTCCAAGTGGAGTTTTATATACAAAAGTGGAATGTGAACAATCTGCAAGCCAAATGATCTCCTGAATGATCCAGACAGTCCTTCCCGTGAATCTGCTTCAAGGCAACCAAGAAACAGCAAGGTTTATGGAAGCCTTTTGCATATGGCATTATGAGGAGTAAGTAGTATGCTGTCTTCCTTGTTTCAAATACACAGAGTTCTTTTTGTGTGTGGATGATCAGGGATATAGTTTTATTTGAATTAGAACACAAAAACTACTTCAGCGAATTTAGTCAGGGGATCTCACCTACTCCTATAGTTATGCATCTATAGCTTGTATGTCTATAGTTTATACCTCCTTGGGCAAGTAGAACAAAGTCACTCATGGTATAGGGGAGTGAGCAATAGTTTAATTCTCTAAATTAAGTTTTATTTATATCCTAATCAAATGTGTTTTAGTAACAAGCTCTGATATCCGAATCTTTCAAAAAGGATTATTCGCAATCATTTGTACTTCTACATGAACATAACCTTATGAAAGTAATTTATGAGTATTTTTTAAAGAAGGAGGTTGAATAACAATACATAACAAATATAAATGAGAGAATCATGGAGAAACTCAACAAAAGCTGATGATGAATTGGGGATGGGAAAGGACTGGGTGGGTGGAGACAAGCAGGAGGTGCTGGCAGGGAGGATGAAGGATGTTGAATACTGTCAAAATGGATCATTAGCAACTATGAAATGCAACAAGGAAAGTTTTGGGGGATTCTATTTAATAGAGGAAGGACAGGGAGTGTGATAGAGGGGGTGAAATTGATTGGAATACAGTTTAAATATGTATGCAGTTGTAACAGTGAAATTCCCCCATACAACTAATATAAGTCAATTAGCAAACTAAAAAGAGAGAAAATTAAATAAGATATACAATAATTTTTCAATAAATAAGAGGAATGTTGAAAATGCTACTATAATTTTTTTTCTCCTGCATCCCTTCTAAAACCTAAGGACTAATACCTTAAGTAGCTTTATTTACTAATATTTGGTAGAAAAAATGTATGCATACAGGCACATTTTAGAGAGACTGGCTCTGAGCCAATATACCAAAAGAGGAAAAAAATACACTCACAAAGTACAGTTAACTCCCTGACTAAATGTGTGAAGGGAAAACCTAATTTGGTAGTATTGGAAGGATGTATATTTTGAAACAAAGGCTTCTTTGGGAGCTTGTGTCAAATTAGTTGGCCATGGATTGAACCAGTACAGGCAATGTACTTGTATTAAGCCCAGCTGCTGTCCCTAATATTTAGTAATGAAGTGCTTTTTGTATATGACGATGACGACACTAACCAACTGGAAGTATGGCATGTGTTGTGAGTAGTGTCTCCAGGAGTGAAGTTGGATTATTTCAATCTTCCACACTCTGAGCCCAGCCCACTTTGGATCTCATACACATATTTGTGAAAACAAGGTATAGTCTGTGACCAAGCAACCAAGCTAAGCCAACTGGCTCATAAAGGGTCAGATCCATGACTTTGGTATATTTGGTCCTGCATTTAGACACACTGAGTTAATCATTTGCACAAATCCACAAACATCATAAATGTGTAGACTCCCTCAAATTCACAAATCATAATTCTGTGTTTTATTCTGTCTTATTGTAAGTGGCCAATTGCATAAGCATTTCAGTGCATATCATATGAATTATTTATGTTAAAATGGACTATATTTTCTATTACATAGCATGTGACATACTTTTTCCAATTATTAAAGACAGTGACTATAGAGCCGATTCCAGCCTATAAATAATAATAGACCTTTAATATTGCTAAATTTCCAATTCTTTGTTGTTCTCCTTTAAGACAACAAGGAATATGATGCTTATCTTTCATACACAAAAGTGGAACAAGATACTTTAGACTGTGACAATCCTGAAGAAGAGCAGTTTGCTCTTGAAATACTGCCAGATGTCCTGGAAAAGCATTATGGATATAAACTCTTCATTCCAGAAAGAGACCTGATTCCAAGTGGAAGTAAGTACTTTCAAATTTTCTGTTTCTTTTAGCAACTTCTATGGATGTTTCAAGCATCAGAGCCAAGTATTTAGAGAACTCTTTCTCACAGATTTTTTAAATTCAAATTTCTCAATTGCATGTATTCTGACTTTAGTACATCTGAACTTTGAAGACATTGAAATGAACATTGAACTTTTTGAAGACATTCTCACACTTTACTTGTGGTCTTTAAATTGTAATTTAAGGTTAGTTTTTATTAGATTGCCTTAGTGTCCTGAGAAAATCATGACCCTTTAATTTTTAAAAAATGTCTCTAGGTGCTAATGGTCCAAGCCTGGGTAATCCTAGCTACTCAGGAGGCTGATATCCGAGGATCACAGTTTGAAGCCAGCACAAGCAGAAAAGTTTATGAGACTTTTACCTCCAATTAACCACATAAAGGCCAGAACTAGAGTTGTGGCTCAAATGGTAGAGAGCTAGCCCTGAGTTCAAGCTCCAGGACAGATACCATAAAAAATAAGTCTTCAAATATCAGTGTATATGGGCTGGGAATGTGGCTTAGTGGTAGAGTGCTTGCCTAGCATGCATGAAGTCCTGGGTTCTATTCCTCAGTACCACATAAACTGAAAAAAGCCTTAAGTGGCACTGTGGCTCAAGTGGTACAGTAGAGTGCTAGCCTTGAGCAAAATGAAGCTCAGGGACAGTGTCCAGGCCCTGGATTCAAGTCCCAGGACTGGAAAAAAAATACCAATGTGTTTCAGTTCCAGAGTTAGTCACCTGTCACTGTACCTACATATACCTATTCTCATTTCACTTGTAATTTTTAATCTTTACCAGTTACCTTTGTTTGTATTATGCATTGTCAGTCATTCACAAATCTATGGAAAATCCACCTACATAGGTGTATGAGTTAAATGCATTGTACTGATAATCTGACTTGTGGAAATGTGGAACTACTTAAAATAATAAAAATACATTTAAAAAAGGTATATGAGTCCACTGGCTACAGCACTTTCAGAATAAGTTCAGCTTCAAGGCAAAATATGTCCTTTATTTTTGCTAAAAATGAGTACTTTGTTCATAATATATATGTGGTAAAGTAAAAGGACCATATTTAAGCTTCAGATCTTTGCCCTCAAAGTTTTTTTAATGTCTGAGGGAAAACAAAAGTGTTAATATTAATTTGCATGTATGTCTGTTACTATCTTTGAGAGGGTAAGATTGAACTCTTTTTTAATTTTTAATTTTTTAATTTTTATTTATTTTTTATTGTGAAAATACTGTACAGTGGGGTTACAATTACATGGGCAAGATAATGAGTACATTTCTTATCAAGCATTGTACAGTTTGTAATCATGTTCATTTATACACACATAGAAATTGCAAAATAAAAGCTTGTATTTTCAGCACTTGAAAATATATTATAATTTTGCATATATTATGCTCTTTAATATTTACAATTACCTGGAAAGAGAGAGAGAATGAGAGAGAGAAAGAGAGTGATATCAGACATATATTTCCTTCTCTTAAACTCTTAAAGATGAGAAAACAAAGGCTCACTGAGGTCCAAGATGAGATGAGTGGTAAATGGTAGAATTAGGAGTAAAACTTAGGTCTGTTTAATGTTAATTCTCATTCTGCTAGATCGTAATCAATTGGTAATGCTTACTCAGAATGTCAGCAGTCCACCATAGTCATTAAGATGACAGAAGACAAATGCGCACAACTGAGATTTGGGTTTTAATTATTTTTCCTAGAGAATATATATACATACATATATATATATATATATATAGTTTATGTGTGAATATTGGTATATATGCTTAAAAGTGCGTGGAAAGGATCAAAATAAACGATATTTACTGATCCATTACAATGCTACAATGTGAGAAGTCTCCAAGTTTCCCACCATGGTTTTTACTGGTTTCTCCTTGTAATTTTCCTCATTTTCATGACACAAAATACCATTCTATATTGATTTGTTTCCCAAGGTTCATCCTGATGTCTCAAAGTCATTTACTTATACTGTTTTCCTCCCAAATGCAGTGTTCCTTTCATCATTCCCATTGTTAATTTCACTATCCTGGTAGAAAACATATTACTTTACTGCTGCAATGAGGATTATCTCTCTACTTTCTTTATCTTTCCTCCCATCCATCTAACCATTTTAATATCATGAATACATCCTTGTCACACCCTTACTCAATCTACTCTGTTATTTCTTAGAGGATAAAACTATAACCCTAATCTAAACATCATTATAATCTGTTGTCCACCCACATTTTCTCCTAAATTTGTTTCCTACTATTTTCTCTACTCAGAGCTTCTACTTTAACAAAACTGTACCTTTGATATATATTATTTGCTCTTCATGCTTTTGTTCATGGAACTCCTCTGTCTTTGAAAATCCTATTTATCCTTCTCCTGTTACCATTTTTGGGAAAACTCCACAATAATTTCTCAGGCTCTAGAGTTTGTGGTGTATAATTACTTGCTTGGCTATAAAAATTTCTGCTCCTGTGACATGCTGTGTTGTTCTATAACCTCCTGTAACTTTCCATCTATTTATATCTTCCCTCGTCAGCCAGATTATAAGCTGCATGAGGTCCTGTTTCTCATTTGTCTTCATACTCCACCATCATCTTCCAGAAGAACTAAGTTCATTAGTATTTCAGAGATGTGTATTGATTTTGTTTCAGTAGAGCTAGTTAAGAGAAGAGGAAGTGATGAGAATGAAATAAACAAAGGTGTCAATTTTATGTGATGCATTTGAAAGGCAATCTTTTCAATGGGGTCAATGTAAGGTAGGCAGGATCTTTATACTGAAAGAAAAATGTGTATAATTTATAAGAATAATGTCAATACTTACAAACATATAGGTATACATTTTATTTTTAGAGATGAGAAAAACAAATATAAGAAATTAATTACTGATGAAAATTTTAAATACATTTCTATTTTTACCTAATTCGTTACATTGCTATATAGTTTTATGTTTTTACAAATAGCATCTTGTTAAATATGGGAATTCATCAAAATCCATTTTTCAAATGAGAATATCCTAAATCATCTTAAAGTAGTAGGTATATCATTAACTAAGTAAAATCAATATTATACGTGAAATCATCTTCAATATGACTCGGTATAGTACTGCTCTTCTGCATTATAGTCCATAAATTTTAGCAGCACAATAAACACCCTCTATGAAGTCCAACAAGTTAATGAAAAATATAGACATTCATGTCTGAAAATTTCAACATAATTAACCTTCTTCTGAAATAAGAAACAGTTTTATACCATTATGCACAGAAGAAAGGGAAGTACGAATTGCATGGAACACAGATGATCCACTTGAGACTCAGTAGATGGCCACTGTTTACAACATAATAAAATAGATACTGTGAATGAGTGAGAACAAGACTGAGTGAGCAGGAGAATAAGAAAGATGAATTTTTTTTAAAATTCACTATCATTTTTGTGTACTATAGACAGCTGAAAATCCTCCTTGACCATGGAGTACAAAGCTTACACAAACTGCAAAATTTTCTAGCTCCAAGCTATGTATTTTATTAAATATGACAATATATTGCATAAGAGATGCTAGGTAGGATTCACCTACTTTACCTAGGCAATTATTTTTTAAATAGTCCCATATAAATCTCACAAAATGATATCATCAAGATGGGCAGATATTTGGTAGTTCATGCAAGGTAATTTTAATATATTTTCAGATTGTACATCTATCAGCCTGAGTAGGGACTTGATCTTGGGTATTTAGTGGCACACAAGAAGACTTTTACAGTAAGCCATTTGGGACAACTATGTAGTTTTTAGATGCAACCACTGGAGGGTGTTTGATTTTAATCCTTCCTTCCTGAACGAGGAAATTCATGTTCTCTGAATTCCGATTTGCGAGTGTAACCTGCAGAGGTTCTTAAAAAGGCCCTTTGACAATTTTTCTTTTCCATCAACATTTCAGAGCTAGCTGAGCAGTCACCATGTCACGATTAATGAGTTTTTCCTTGGCATTTTTAGCACACTTTCAGGAAGTCGATGAAGTATATGAATAATATACTTGATTTACACATGAATGACAGAGTAGAACATTTTGGACTTGGTGTATGTATGTTATTAAAGAAGCTTCTGTGGTCTGTATTTGCAGCCATTGGTACAGATTTAACAGGTTATGTTATATAAATATAGACACATTCCTATGGGGGAGGGGAAAAGCCTAGCTACAATATTATGAACTGTGTTTCTCCCTCACATCTCATTTAAAATTGTTGACCTATGAGTACTCCTTCTTTCAAAAATTAGCATTGAGGCCCTTGGAGGCTTATAAAAACAGACTACCTGAAACCATTCTTCATCTATAACAATAACTTTATATGAATCAAATGAACAAAGTGTTTGGCACAAATCCACTTACGTTTAATGTCTTTACTTTTCATGTATCTTCAGTTGCCTTTGTATCTCTGGCGTGGTATTACCACTGAAAAGTCTCAACACTTCTAAAGTTTCAAAATTATCGTGGTATGGGTCCTTATGCACTTAACACAAAAGAACTTTGCAATGCACAGTTTCAAAAGTTCATGAGAATATTTTGTCTCTCTCTCTCTCCATATGTGTCTCTCAGCGTCTGTATTTCTCTGGCTCTATCACTCTTGCTCTCTCTCTTGTTCTTGTTCTCAGAAAGCTTAAACACAAATATATCATTTTCCACGATGAGCTGGGGTTGTCTGTATCTTTCCCACACACCCCATTAAGAAATGTTGTTCTTTGGCTATTACAAACTAGCAGAGATTGAGAAATTTGACGCACAGATTTTTCCTAAATGCCCAAACTGAGTCTTCAGATCTGGACATTATTTTCCTGGCAGGGACTACCTTTCCATTCTTGAGCCCTGTGGTCAGGATCTTCCTTATGTTTTCTCAGGTTGGGTGCCTAAATGTGGCAAGAATTCCTACTTTCCAGTAAAAAAAAATGGCTATTTCTTCCCAGACTAGAAACATCTGTCC